GTGTTTCCTGGTAGCGTGGGCAGACAAGGAATGCCTTCAATTTTGAAATGTGGAATTTCGTGAGCACAAGACAGTACCTGCAACAGTCCTGCGGCTTGGAGATCAGTGTGGTGCATTTTATAACACATCGACACAGCTCCACAGGATGCGCATGTATGTTTTGGACACGCTCGTGCATTTACCGATATTGAAACAATTATTTAAGCATTGGAAAATAAATGTATGGCCAAAATACACTGTTTCAGAACGAGCAAGACTTCATCAAAACGTGTAATACATGTACACTCATTCAATAATCACTACACACGTTAGTCCCATTTCTAAAGGAGAAATGCGCGATAATCACACGATTTTACACGATTTTCAGTCGTGTTTCAATGTACACGATTTTGAAAACCGTGTATTTTGGCCTGTTTTTTACTTGTGATTGCGTCATGAAGCATAATTTAGAGCTCCAAATAAATGATTGTGCGATGCAACTAGCAATTGTAGACTACATTCTACAATGCTCTTCGTTGTTGTTGCAGTGTTCTCTGTTCGACTCTACAGCTTGTTCAGCCGCCCTTATGATGATGAGACTTCCGAGCGAGGCCAGCAATGGTGTTGCGGTGCTGGGAACGGCGTTTGCGAGAGGTGATATACTAAGTTGGTATTACCAACACCGAATCGGGCAAACTTGCTTGCGCTTGTATGATGAAAGTAGCAAAGTTCATCCACATGCATGTTAGATTTAAAATATGGATACACCGTTACATCAACCCAATGGCAGCAGTGCTAAATATATTACACCTGTAATGAGCTTAGCAGATCATGTATATGAGCTTAACAGATCATTTATACGAGCTTAACAGATCATGTATATGAGTTTAACAACAACTTAGCATGTACATACATCATGTTGTTTAGTACATACTTCCTCCGTCCCAAGTTTTATTGCAGTTATGAATCGTGGGCCTGTAAAACCTATCAAACATGCCAGATTTTCACAAAAGGTTTCCAATATGTATTGATTTGAGTATCTTTTGTGATGCTAAAATTTCGAGCTGATCGGATAAGTATCCAATCCTCAGTGTCATCGTGAACATACGTTATTCAGCTCAGCCTTTCAAGTTGGCTCCAAAACAGCCCGTTTTCGGGCCGTGGACCATACCCCCTTGGGGTGCCCCCGATCTTGCGAAGTGACGCGACTTGGAGACGTGTTCCAGACTGCAGGTTGGAGCAGAGATGCGAAAACGGAGGGCAGGCCAACAGCTCGTCTTGAAAGGCTTGATTGAGGATCTCGCCCGTCTTTTGCCTTAATCACCATTCCCCGAACTGTGCACGGTTTGTGCACCGCAATCTTTCAACTTTCGTTGCAGGCCTGTGTCTTGGGACATCTCCAGTTCCCTTGACACGTATTGGCCAGGTTCATTCTGGGGCATTGTTGATTATATACGGATCAGCTTACCGATGGCCGCAATTGTTCGGCACATAGTCTCGAATCTATGTGCGGGATTTTCGATCATGCCTTTTTAGAGTGTGTTGGCAGTCTGCTCCTTACCTCTATGTCTCCGCTCTGACCTGTAGTCTAAAGCGCGTCCTCAAGTCATGTCGTTTCACTTGGAGGGGGCACCGCAAGGTGGCATGGTCATGGCCCAGAAACACGCGGTTTTGGCGCCACCTCGAAAACCTAGGGTATTTACAGAAACATGGAGTCTGTTTAAAATACCACTACGTATCAATCACAGAACCGATTGACTCAAAAATTTGGGAACATGAATTAGGCGTAAATTGCAACACTGTGACAAGTTTTAGTGAAATTGCGAGATGATTAATTGGGTCTTCCAGGGCCATAGATCGTAACTGCAATTTAATTTGGGGTGGGAGGAAGTATCCAGTAATACTGGACCAGAACAGCTTCCCTGTAAGATCTGTACCATGCACTTTGTACCATGTATATGTATCATAAATTTGGAGATTTAGCCCAACGGATTGCCAGACTCAAGAACTACAAGCAGCTATGAGCCCATGAAAGGTGCCAGTAGTCTAGTATGCAGTAGATTTGAAACATGTCTCAAGTCTCCAGTGCTGAGCACTCGAGACAGTCAGAGCCTCCGACAGCGTTTAAAATCTGAGTGTGCATTTCTTGTTACAGTTGAGAACGGCAGACTGCGTTGCCAATGTGATATTCTGTGCCTGAAATCCTGCTTTTGTGAGAATTTGTTTTTATAGATTTCTGAATATGTCAACACATTGCACAATATATAGTATTGTACACTTAAGTATATTTTGAAGTATTGAAGTGCACCAATGTGTTTATATTCTGAAGCACTGTTGTTGTATTGCTACACACCATGCTATTATACATTGTTATATAATATGAGGTATTGAAGTGCATTGTTTGGTTTCCTTCCCATGAACCAACGGCGCATTCAACCTCGAAACATCGCCTCACCGCTCAGTCCCTGCTGCCAATACTCATCACTGACACGAGCACGTGTGCGACGGCAGGGCAAGCGTCATCATCTGCTACGATCCGTTTGTGTTCGTGTTCCTGCTGGCAATGCCGCTGTCGCTGGTTTGGTCATTCCTCGGTATGAGATGGAGCGGCGGCAACTCGAAAGAGTGCAACGGTATGGTGGCAGGGCGGTCGGCAAACTTACATTGCCGCTGGGGATTTAGATACCTGTCGTGGCAGTGTTTCCTATTCTCTTCTTCCAACGCAAAGCAGCGCATCACACTGACGTTGTCTCGTATTTTGGCCTGGAAAACAACGTTTGCTGTTGTGCGCACGGATTCATGCAAAAGGCATTTTTGCTGAAGGGGCGCCTGTCTTCCAAGTCTGTGAAGTCGCGAGAAGCGTTGGCAAAAGAATCGCAGCCAAGTCTGACGTGAAAATTCCCTGCTCTTGTATCCGATTCTGGCTTTTCGCTCCTCCCCCTTACATGCGCCCTCAGGTGTTTCGGATTTTCTTGTAGATAGTCCCCGTTGGCAGCATGGTGGTGGCGGCGGCCATTTTCCGCATCATGTACCTTGTCGGCGCGGTTGTGGTCGCCTGCCTGAGCTTCTGCCATGAGTGGTGGAGGATACGATCAGGCGCTGTGGACAGGAACCCCTCAGGTAAGAGCGCAAAGCTCCCCGGCATGCAAGGTGGAAAATATGAATCCCCTTTCAGACAAATTGGCTGGTCTCCACCTTCCAGTGGCCCAGCAAGCAGCACTACTCAATAAAGGTCCAATTCACTAGGGAAAGAGGGTCCAAACAACACGGTTCAAACGTGTACAAAGTTTAAGAATCTATGGCGGAGGGGCGCCAACACCTTCGCTCCTATGTGGGAGTGAGCCGTGCACTCAGGGGCCCATGTGATACAGATGTGTGAAAATGTCGGATGCAGGATTGAGTTGAAGGCTCATCCATCTGAAAGTAATTCCAATTTTCCGCCAACCAGATCCACGACTTTAGGGCGCACGTTCTTGGGCGGCGCACTTTCATGTTGCTGAAGATGGCGCGATGCCCATTTAAGTAGAATCTGAAGGGAACTCGGGGAATGTCTCCGTAAATGACATTCGACTCAGCTGTGTGGACGCAGGCTCTCCGACGTGGCGTGGGCAGCCACCAACGCTTCCACCAGGGCCAGTGCAGCCGCCTCCCGCGCAGTTGGCAAGTACCTTTCCTTCAACCCACCCCTTGGGCGCCAGTCTACAGTCCCATGATAAATGGGATACCCATCTGCCTCTTGGGCGCACTCAAGCGCTTGGAAAGCAACATGACGTCGCTGATTCAAGGCAAGCCAGTGAGGAATGTAAAGTGCGCTGCTTTTCGACTGTCCAGGCGTTCACAGAGAGCGCCCGGTATATTCACCAAAGAGTCTGGAAGAAGAGATTCCTGATGGGGCATCGCGCATGTGCACACCTTGTATTGGGGGAACACGGTGGCCACAATCCCAGAGATGCTTCTCCCACCCTCAGCCTTGCCCGTGCGTGGGACCCAATAATTTGCCGCAAGGCTACCTGCTGTTCTCAGAACCGCATCGGATCATCTGAACTCAATGCCGTCCGACAGGGCATGCACAGTGATCAGGCAATGCGACTTTCTTGTGCCCACGCAGATACCCACAAGAGAAGCCGACATTTCAAACCCATCAGGCCAAAAGCTCACAGCAAAATACCGCCTTGGCACAGGCTGTGGATGCCGGGCTTCAAGCTGCTGGATCGGCTTTCAAGTGGACGGGTAGGATATGGCCATTACCACAAATCTTCACATTGGATTTACGCGCTCTCATTTTTCCCCTCCTTTTGATGACTTCAAGCCACCTCGTTCGTTCATCTTTCGCGTCACCTTGCGCAATCCATCACGAGAAGTAATACATCCTCTCATGGCATTGGTCAAGACTGTTTGAAACAGGATTGAAGGAGGCCACAACCTACAGGATACTGCGCTAATGCTTGTCGGCGTCGACATGTGATAAGCTTCCAACACAACTGTTGCATATGTGCAAAGCAGTTTTCCATGCTGCAGGTGAAAAGATCGAGCAACTGAGAAAGCATGCAGCGAAAGGCGAGAAAAATACGGGGAGCAACAACGCACGCAGGGCATAAATGGCATTGCAAGGATGGCGGCTGCGAGCACAGACGGATGGACCACGAGCATGGCACTTCGGCCCTGCATGCCAATGCTAGGTTCGTGTGTGTAGATGTGCAGCGCACAATAGCGCACACAGCTCTGGCCAGGAGGGACAGCGATTCCCAGACGTCAATTCCACGCCAGACGACAACCTGCATTTCGACAAGTCGAACAGTCAATAAACACAAAACCAACGGCACAATGCACTGCACCCCAATGGCCGAAAAATCCCACACGACACCGCCAAAACGACCAAATGCAACTCTCCTTGCGACTGGGAATCCATTCCATAAACAGGTCGGGCCGATGTTCGAGACTGGGAGGATCGCCCCATCAAGAATAAAGAATGGTCTCCATTTTTCAGGGCGCCACGCCTTGGCGTGCCCCACGCAGCAAAATCAGTCCTCGTCTTGGCCGCGTCCAAACGAGAACAAATTCTTCAAAACCCTGCGTACCAACAAAGCTTGGTCTCTTGCTGCCTTGTTGAACATGTGATTCAGCACCGTGCTAAGATGCTGCTGTTTGGTGGTGATGAACTGCTGAGAAGTGGCAAATTTTCTTGAACAGGCACAAGTCAAGATGTACAGCCCTGTACAAAGTACAATCAGGCCCAGAAGCAAAGAGTCTATATCGGGCACAAACAAGCACAAGTACCTGAAGCAGCAAAGCAAACACATGCACACAGCGACGAGAGTGTGCGCCATCCCAGTCCTCACCAGTTACCGATGAGCAATATCGAATAATACATGCACGGATCGTTGCAAGATCAGAACATTAGATCACCAATGACAGTATCAACGTGAAAACAAGCACTTTTCAATGAGGGTGGGCGAAATGATGCATTGCAATGTAGGATGGCCGGTTATGAAAGCAACCATCGAAAACGAATTGTCCGCGTCTTAGGAGTTGTCCATGTTTTTTCTGAATCATCTTGCAATGGCAACCAAAGGCGAACGCATTGTGCATGCAGCGGCATCGATACTGTGGCGCTCATCGAGCCAACGAGCATGGTGACATGCCTCACCAAGAGGACCAATGCAGATGTTTGCAGATTATCTGAGTACATGTCATTGGCTTGATCTGGAGTCATTTCTGGTCATTGATCCACGATTCTTGGGATGGAGAGTGCCATCTACAGAATATAGGCCCATGGACACATCTACAAAGATGTCTTGAAAAGATATGTCTTGAGACAATGACCATCACGACCCAAAAGGTCCAAGGGCCGCACTATGGTGTACAATGGCTCCATATTGCTTGAATTTTACTGCCCCTGTCATCGGCTGTCAGGGTCTGTAGTTTTGGACAATTGCTGTCTCTGGATTGACAACCACAACTGCATGCTGCTGCAGCTGCACACAACACTGAACGCTCTGCAAGGCCACATAGCAGGTAACACAAGTTCCCCAGAGAACTGATTCAATGTCGCAAAAAGACAAAACACATTGCCTACCTGACTGCATTCTCGTTGATGATAGGCTCATCATACTGTACCGCAACAGCAACGAACAGTCAACAAGAGACACTCACACAATAGATCAGTACTGGCCGCTCCATAATTAGAACTGGCGATCAGAAGCATGCTACATAGAGGGTTCAAATTGGACAGAGTTCTGCAACATTCAGACTGCAGTGACCACTAGAAGTAGCGACCATACCAAATTGCCGCAACTGGCAACGATGAAAGACAACTAAATGGAAACCCCAATCAATTAATGAACTATTCCCCAATTCGTGGTCGCCATGATGTGGGCTACATAGCTGAGTGTCGTTCCAGAGAATTTCGTGCTGCTCCAATTCCGGCACGTGACTATGTTGCATGCTATTGTTGTAGGCTTCCGTTTGGTAACTTCAAGGTGTCTACCGTCATGTACTATACCCTTCCACATCATCATTGCATTACGTTGGCCTTTTATGCAGACCAATAATGAAAACATAGTGGTGCAAAGAAAATGTACAGCAGCCCCAGCCACAATGCCAGGGAGTGCTTGTGCCATCTAGCAGGCCCTGGATGCTTGAGTCGCTGTGGTGGAAAATGGACAATTGAAGCCGTACAAATTGACCGATGGCGCCATTTTGGCTGCATCCTTGATGTGGAGCCCCCCAAAAAAACGGTCTTATGAAGAAAAGTGGAGGAAATTTGTAATACTGGATTTTCCAAATGCAGGCTTAATATACTACAGTAGGCGATGTTCTCCAAGAACTTCACCAACCGCAAACAACTGTGGATGTATTCCACATACCAAGATGGTTTGAGACGTTGCAAAGCTGATGACTGCCATGCAAAGTCCCTCGATGCGCATACATGATTTCTTTGATTCCATTTGTGACGCTGACAAGAGGCGCTGGTCTTTGCTTGCAATGCGATGACTAGCAAGTACCCTGCAGAGTGAAAACATCATTGCAATATGCAATTTGCCAGCATCGCGAAGCACATGTTTGGAGGGAAGTTTTTCCACAGCTTCTTCTATTCAGATCCACAGGCCTGCATACTGTCATGCATGTAATGTTCACTCATCAACATAGTATCCCATAGCAATCTGCAGCAATCTGCCCTGACATCCGCAGATAGACATATGATTCACGACCAAAGCGCCACCGGGGAGGTGTACGTGTGCCCCACCATCACACCTTTCGTATAAGTTGCTCAAAACCCTCCGTGTTGCTCAGTGCCGCCAGGTTGGCATCCGTCCTCACTTTGTCAAAATCATCGAACCCTGAGCTCAGTGCTCCCTCCAGCGCCTCCAGCCCAGCCTCCAGCTGGTTCATGGCCGAGTAGCAGCACGCAATATTGTACTGAGCATAGGGGTAGATGTCTGTGTAGCGAGCAAAATTGTCTCCTATGTATTTCCTGGGCTCCATGGCCACCACATTTTCAAAGTCGATCAGGGCACCCTGAAGGTCGCCCTTCCTGAACTTTCCCATGGCACCTTTGAAGAGTGTAGTGCGCTCCTCCTCCAGCTGCCTGTTGGCTATGTAGTTCTTGCGTTGCTGTTCCCTAACACCTTGTCCGACATTGCCCTGGTTCCGTTCTCGTTTCCAAGCGGCATCTGCAGGAACATCCTGGCACACAAGGCACAAAAGAGTTCAGCGAAGGCGTTCCCTTTTGCAAATCAGGATTCCAATCAATGCACTGAGTACCATTGCTTATGGTTGCTGGCGTGTGGCATTGAAAGTAAGAGACAGCAGCACCTCCCAATGACTTGAATGTGCAAGGGAAGCATTCTCGTCCAGCAGACACCACTGCATTCTAGGACAGGCTTAGTGCAAACAGTGCCCAGTATTGAAATATCATGGCCTTGAGATAACATTGGCCAAGTCTTTCCCAAGGATAAGTCACTTATCCGTGGTAATGCCAATCATGCATCTTGAGTCCATTCAAATGGCAGTGCCAGTGTCTGCACTCTTAAACTGGCCAGCAAGAGCACTGAGACTTGAATCGAAACAATGTGCACAAGCTTTGCCCCAGAGTCCAGTCAATAAAGGAAACTAAATTTAACTGCTTACGGAAACGAAGGAACCTTTCTTCAACAAAGCCAAGGCGAAAAGAACTTGCAAGCATGGGAAAAGCCCATTAAAACAACTTCATTCTTTGAATATTATCTGAGGACCAATGACCAGTCAACCCAGGCGCAATATTTCAGCCAAGTCTACATGAAGCTATCCCTTGATGGTCTTTGAGAATCTTGGATGACATGTTAACGCAAGTCATGAAATGAATCCTTCTGCAGTTGCTTTCCCTCTCTTCTGTTTTTTCATTTGTGCAAGTGTGGAGATGTGTCATATTCGTACCAACAATACAGCTGAGTAGCAAAGAAATGACATCAGCCAGTTTCTGCAACACCAGGTGGTGCAATGCATCTCCTCACGAACACCACTCACCTCAATTTGTGATGTGTCTCCAAACATCTTCTGCACTTTGAGGAACACCCCACCATTGCGGGTTCTGATTGCAAACATGACCTGTCCAAAATTCTTGGCATCCCACACATCATCGCCAAAGGACGCACTGACCTGCATGACCTTGTCGCCGACCTGCTCAGGCAATCCAAGCAACTCTCATTGCAGCACACCAGTACAGTGAAACCCTTTCAAGCTCATGCACAGAATCTGCAACCCTCTGGTAATCAGCTTATGATCAATTTGCACTGGTTTAACACAACAAACAACACATAAAATTGCAGTTCTCCACAGTGAAGATACAGTTGCAGTTCGGGTTATGGAGTGAATTGGCATAGCGCAATGATGCAGTGCACAAATAATCCGACTTGACATCGCAATGTGCTGGGTATGTGCTTCCTGTTTTCGTTCATCTGTGTTCACTGTTCATCTTGGCTGAAAGTCAACCGCATTGTAGTAGCAGCAGCAGCGCTGCCCAACTAGGAGTCAGTAGCAGCACCTATTTTGCGCACCAAGTTCATTTGGGTCTTCAAGCACATTCAGACGTGATGCGCACCTCGATTCTTTTGTCTGTCTCGCCTAATTTTGGATCATTGACAGTAACGTAGGCGCCCCCATCACTGCCTCGTGTGAATCGAAGCCCAAGGGGCTTTGTCAGCACCACCTGCAAACGTGCCCTTATTCTCAAAAACTTGCCTGTGTTCTGCTCAGGCCTATCAGCACCCCAATCCAACAATACCAAGGCTAAGCGCGAGCTCCAGTTTTTTGTGATGGGCCTCTGTTGTGACGTTGCAAAACGCATTGTTTTCCTGAAATTGGTGCTGTTGCCAATAAGCGATTAGGACGACGCAGAAATGAAATGAAAGCTTTCAGCTGAAAGGACACTTGCATACACACCAAGGGCATCCATCCAGTTGAAAATACTAATATCGCAAAACACTGGCACCATCAGCACGTCCTGCCTCCTGTCATGTGCTGGTCGAGCTCCATCCTGGGATTTCTGCAACATTTTTACATCATGGTAGGGAGTCTAACACGATTTGCACAGCAAGAGGATGTCCACTGCATGTCCTCTCTTGCTGTCAGGGGAAGTGTGCACATTTGTGCTACTACGATGCTGAGGCTGGGCTAATCCTTGCCAACCAAAGAAAGTTTCTCCCTGACAGCTACAAAGAACTCATGCAGTCTGATCTCACTACAGGTACGTGCCATGGCAGCGTGTGCTCAGGCTATGCTAATCTGTGCCAACCAATGAAAAGGTTCCCCCTGACATCTACCAAAAGCTCATGCTGTCTGATCTCACTACAGATACGTGGCATGGCAGCGTGTTATTTCACGTTGATGTAATGGATGCATTCATTCACCAGTCTTTCTCTGAGCTTTTCTTCCCTCCCGCCCAACTCACGAACCAGGCTGGCGGCTGCCATCCTGAGCCCTAATCGGTGCCAGTTTGGTCAGCCGCAGCGAATTCTGCCCAAAAAAACGCACAAGGGAGGATCGCACAGCGGCAAACACACAGCGCACCTCAATGTACTCTTCCTTGGCCGGGCCCGAGGCGGACTTCGTTGCTCGCAGCTGGGTGGCGGGCCTGTGCGCTTCGCCCTGCGCGGGGATCCCCGATCAGGTCTTCGGGACAATCGAATGAAAAGCGGCCATCAAACGGCGCGACAGGGATACACTGGATACCGCCCACAACCGCCTCACCTGCACTCGCGCCGCGGCGCCCCTGTGCATCCCTGTGCCATGTCGACTGTCGGCCGGCGCCACGAGCAGCAGCACATTCAGTCACATGGCAAGAACTCCAGCGCGAGCGCCAGCTGCTCTTCGAAAATCACGGGCGCACCGACGGCGCCACCGCCCGCGCGGCATGCAGCTGACCTGCTCCGGGTGACGGGGAACAGCCCCGAATGCAGCTGAGCGGCATTTGCGCCGCAATCCGCTCGGGTGGGCGGTGCGCACGGCGCGGAGCACAGTACCCTAGTGTTCATGGTGCCTTGCTCAGGGGCGAGAGCGCGCGGGATGGGCGAGGAGGCGGTAGGGCGGTCGCTGTGCGGGCACTAACTGTGGCAGCAGGACGAAATGGCCAGGCTGTCGAATGCTCAAAAAGGGTGCTGACTGCGGCACCGTCACCCAATCAGGGACAGCGAGGAAAAAGCACCGCAAGAGACGATATAGCACCACCCTAATAGCGCCCCCGGCCCACAATAGGGTCCCCTTTTTTGGCTTGTCACCGTCTATGCAGTACTTTATGCAGCTTTGTTGCGCAGTGGGACCTGTAACCCCTACACCGGCGGCCAGGATACCCCCTACACTGGCGGCCAGGATACCCCCTACACCAGCCGCTAGGGCATCCCCTACACAGGCGGCCATGGTACCCCCGACACGGGCGGCCAGGGTAACCCCTATACTGGCAGCCATCGTAACCCTTACATCGGCGGTTAGGGTACCCCCTACACAGGCGGCCATGGTACCCCCTACACCGGCAGCTTAGGTGCTCCCTACACCGGCGGCCATGGTACCATGTACACCGGCTGCTTAGGGTACCCTGCTTAGCGCCCCCGGACCCCAACAGCGCCCACCTTTTGGCCATGTCACCAGGGGTCACTATAAATGGACCCTTATTGTATTTGCAGATACTATCGATACTCCCCAGATGGTAAGATTCCAGGATACCCAGCCCAACAAAAGCCCAGCAGCAACCACACACCCCTAGCTGGTCCCACATCCAATCTGTCTTGTACTCCTGTTCCCCAATCGAGCCCTCCGTGGTAGCTTTGTGCACTGAACGCCGATCCCACACGGCATGAAATTGATCCCTCTAGATCTGACTTTTTGTTATTGTCGATTCCTGTTTCGGCACCCTAAACCCTAAGCCACTGACCCACTGACCCACTGACCCACTGACCCACTGACCCACTGATCCACTGACCCACTGACCCAATGGCCTTACGTTGGCCTTGTCTGCAGAAGAGGAAGGGATCTTCAAAAAAGGGCAGTGGGAACCAGTGAACTCTCATGCCACACTACCACACATGTGTGGGCTTGTACAGGCCCCGCCAGGCCTGTATCCATCCAGCAGCGGCCCTTGCCCCAGCAAATGGTGCGCTACCAATCTCCATCAGCCTGGTGTGGGATTGACGCAGCAACGAGCAGCGGCCCTTTGATCGCGCCTCCCTTCTTGGACGGCTCTGCTCTCTCTCAACGGGTCCAGTCCACTGCAGAGAGAGCCTCCCTCACTCCAGTCATCTTATTTTGCCCACCAGCGCGCGGCCGCAGTCACCGCACGGACGCCGTAGTGCACAAGGGCACCGCGAGCGGACACAGCCATGTGCACCGGATGAGCTGAAACTTGCTTCCTGCCCATGCCCGATCTGCTGGCTCTCTGTGCAGGCCACACCCAGGGGCGCGAATTCGCGCATTCAAAGGCCACCTCCACGCCCACACCCTTCGCCGTGGACGCGGCCGGCCACACAATGCCCAGCCAGGAAGTACGTTCGTGTTGTCATCGATTTGTGCACGATTCTCGACGCATTTGGTCCGGGCATGGGCACCAACAGAAACAGAAACCCTGCCCGTGGCGCTTTCTCCTGGCCCCCGTGTTCGCCGCGCTGATGGAGAGTGAACACATGTGTCGGCCCACCTGTGCAGGTGAGTTCGAGGACGCGCGGCGGCAGTGCGCCACGCACTTTTGTTTTCGTGTTTGTCTTGCGCAACGCATGCATGCGTTCCCACATGGGAACGCATGGCACCCGCTGCTTGGAAGCCACCTGCGGGCTTCCCTCCACCAGTGCAGGCGCTTTGCATCCGAATGGGTGTCACCCCAGGGACGGCCCAAACGTGGCGCGCGAGACCTGGCAGCGCCAGCGTCCAACATGGCGTCGGTGCCTATTCCTGTCTGACTGTTCTTGTGTGGGTGGCGACGTCGTGTTCAATACCCGGGGAGTCGACATAGGCACGGTCGTCCATTGCACAACAAGACGTCGGGCTTTCCCGAGCGTTCTGCTCGACGGAACGCCCTGACTACCCCTGCGAGAAGCGTGTTGCCGACCCCAGACGTTTCCGACACCTGGGCCATCTTCTCCGGCAGCTGCTCAAGCCCTGTTCTGTTGCCCGCACGCTGGGACACAAGCGCGGCTTTCCAGCCCACCGCACCGACAGTGATGCTTAGGGGCAATTGGCCGCGGCCACATGTGCCGCGGCCGCGGCCTGGCTGTCAGCATGACGCAGGTGCGGCGGGCACACGCAGCTGCTGATTCTACCGCCGCAGACGCCGCGTGCCTTGTCCAAAGGCCTCTCGGCCCCTTTCTGGTGGAAAAGGGGCAAGTGTGGTTCCCGTGCTCGTGGTGCTCCACACCCCTTGTGCAGTCGCGGTCCTCCCCAAGCAACCCGGGATCCTCAGAATGATCGTGTGACACGGCAGTACTCTGGGTGTTCTTGATGGTACTTGGAACCAAAATTGAATTGAAGCAACAAGTCATACATAGAGTTGGCTGAATGCTCTGGCACTTTATATCACGAACAGTTCCACAAGGACCTTCGCAGCCAGTGTGGTCGCGCATAATGAAGGTCGAGAAACGCACTAGCGCAGCAATGACCCATTCGCTCACAAAACGGTTGTCACATCTTGATTCACATAACGCAACCGTGAACACACACAAAGGTAGGCCAGGATTTCTCGAAGCCTCGTGGTCAGGAGTCATTTCGCCCTCAGGTGTGGGAAAGGTTGGCTGGAGTTCTCAAAACCGCGTGACCAGCAGTCATTTCGCCCTCAGGTGTGGTCAACGGAAAGGTCGGGGGGAATTCTCAAAGCCGCGTGACAAGAAGTCATTACCTCTTGAGGTGTGGGGAAGGCTGGCGGGAATTCTCAGAAATGCGTGGTCATGAGTCACTTCCTCCTCAGGCGCGGCCCCAAGAGGATATCGGAGCATCATTGCCATCAGTACGTCCCAGCACGACGCCAAGGGACCCTTCTGCGGATCGAATTTCTCACACCTGAATCTGCTCCCGCTCGGCTCCTGCCGCGGGCCCCGTCATCCCCCCGCGGGGGCCGCCAGCCCACATTCATAAGGGCTTCGGCATTGGAGGCCCCAGTCCGCCAGCAGATCCCACTCCTAGGGTTTCTCCAGCAGACGGCCGGGTACCCAGCAAGGCCTCAACGCCTCCGCCACCGCGAAGCCCACCCCGTTGCGAGCGGCGCCACTCCCCACCCAACCTCCCAAAGGCTTTGCCAATCAGCGGCCCGATCGGCGGCCATGGCGTCCGAGCCCCTGCTCAAGGCTGATCCTGGCAAACGTGAGTCGGGGCCGCGTGCCGCTCGCGCGCACGGCGGCGCCGCCGTGCTGCCGCATCCCCCCTCGCCATTGCCGGCATTACGGCCCACGGGAGGCTCCCCGCCGCCGGGGACGCCCTCCTGCCCGCCTCAGTGCTGTCGTATTCCGAAGCGTGGGGCGTCCCGTTGGGGAAAAGAGTGACGTGGGCCGCAGGCCAGGCCGTGGCAGGCGACCGGTTGGGAGATTCCATCCCAAGCCCCTGATTGGGTTCCCGCGTCCGTTGTTCTCGCAGGGCCGACCAAGCCATTTGACGGCTTCGTTGCGCGGCCTGGCGGCAAGGTCACCGACAAGCCCCACCTCATCAACGCCTGGTCGCTGGCTCACGCGTCCAACCTGGCGTACGAGAACGAGGAGACGGTGAAGAAGACCTGCAAGGAATGGGGCTTCAAGTTTGTCAAGTGCTTCGGCTACGCGGGCCACGTGGGCTTCGACACGGAATGCTTCGTGGCGGCCAACGACGAGATCGTGGTCGTGTCCTTCCGCGGCACCGAGCCCACCAGCTGGCGGGACTGGGTCAGCGACCTGAACGCCATGAAGAGCAGGACGGGGCCGTTCAACTCCCACGTGCACCAGGGATTCCTCAACTGCCTGATCAAGAATGGCACCATGGACGAGCGCAGCACGTGCATGAAGGACGAGGTGGTCAAGGAGGCGAAGAAGCTCCTGGGCGACCGAGCGCTGTACATTACGGGCCATAGCCTTGGCGCCGCGCTGGCCACCCTCTGCACGGCGTTCTGCCTGGACACGGGCCACATCGCGGTGGAGGGCCTGTACACGTTTGGCTCGCCCCGCGTGGGCACCCACCGGTTCGCGAAAGTCATGATGAAGAAGTCCGGCGGAAAAATCTACCGCTTCGTGAACAAGGAGGACATTGTGGCCCGCGTGCCCAAAATCCTGTACCACCACGTCGGCAACTGGTGGTACCTGGGGGGCAAGGACCAGCGCCTGACCAAGAACCCGGGCTTCTGCCAGCTGTTCAGGGACTGGATATGCATCGACTGGGACTGGTTCCCGGACTGCGTGGCGGACCACAGCATCGAGAACGGGTACATCGTGGGGCTGCAGAAGAACATCGACGCCAGGTACGGCAAGCCTCCAGCCAGCTGAATGGCTTGTAGAATGGGGCCAGTAGAACGGGGCACTTGTGTCTCTCAGCGCTGAGTGGCCAGGCGCAGGGACCCACGCGGCGACGAGTGTCGTGCAGCAGCGGGAGGAGTGAGGCGTCGCTGGCGGCGGGATGGGCGCTTGGCGGCTGGGCGCATGGGTGGGACTGGGGACGAACGACTGTTCTGCAATTTTTCCTTTGTTGGCTGCTTGGGTGTAATTGACGAGTGCCGCAGCGAAATGAGAGTTTGATTTGTTGGCTGCCCACGGACAGCCGCATTGTTCTCGACTGGAAATCTCACCTGGGATTGCCGCGCCGGATGGCTGTCGGCGGGCTCGACTTGGACGGCGGTGTATGTGGGAATTCATCAACAGACCAGATTCATGGACGTCTCGAGGCGAGGCCGAGCTGTACGGTGTCCTGTGTGCCACAAGGGGGCTGCGAGTCTGGGGAATTTTGCTTGGGAGGTGATGCTCATTGTACGATCCCCTTCTATTTTGTAATTACGCTGTTTGGACGGCACTGGCTGCGTTCCCGAACCAGAAAACTGCTAACATAGCACGTGAATGTGTGCTGCCGCGAGAGTGCGCTGGAGCACGTACCCCGATGATCGTTGCTCCACAACACATCATTTTTAACGTCACAACACTGTTTGCTTGATTGTATTGTCGGGCTGGGCGTCTGCTCGCAGAGGCTCACAGATCCTTCCACGACACCTACAGCAAGTCAATTCTTAATACATGCAATCCGTACAATGTCGATCCCTAAACCAGGGCACCAGCGTCCTTCAAAGTCAGCAACGCTCGCCTAGAGTTGGTCAGCGACAGCTATGAGACACTCCCAACGCAGAGTGCACAACACCGAACAGTGTCGGCGCCACCATACTGCCCCCGGCAAATTTAGATGACATAGCTGGTTCACCACAAAAGTTCCAAACTCGCCTTCTATGACCACTACATGATTAAAAATGAAGGTGGCAAGCTGCCAGATGTAAATCCCTCCCACGCGAGGCAACCACCCATCAAACACTCCCGAACTACATAGTAAGCAACCACTTACACCGGCATGCAATGCCCATTATCGTAATTTTGTTCCTTGGTCCGTGCTGCCCAAATGCCAAAGGGATTCGCGCCCATCTCCGGTGCCCCTGGCCGAATCCTTGGCCCCACTTCCCTGGACGCCTGAGAGTTGCATCGCCTTTTCCCACCCCAACCGATGACTGCTCAAAACTTAGAGTCGGGCCCGTTGCTGCGGAGCTTCGCTGCAGATGTGTCATGCTTCGTCTACGATGGAGACTCGACTTTGGGGCTGCAGAGGGTGGGCGGAAGGCTGCCACACCACTTTGGGGCGTCTCGGCCGCAGAGACCGAGAGTCTTGACGGCAGGCGTCAACCGTGGAACGCTCTGAAGCGTTGCTGAAGGAGATCTCCTTCGGCGTGCCAGGCGGGGGTGAACTGGCAATCAGCGCAAGAATTGAATCACAAGTGGGCTTGTTGGCTGCCTCCTTTATTTCGCTGCTCAGAAACCCCGACAGGGTGGGATTCTGGCAGGGAGCAAGAATCCCTCCCAGTATTGCGCTGCAGCTCTTCAATTCAATCCCACAATGTTGTGCCGATGACGACGGGTCTGCCTTCGCCCGGACTACCCCGTTGTGGTGGCCTCCCAGACAATTATTGCTTGACCCTTAAATGCTGTTCGCCTGTCCCTGCCCAAGGTTCGCGTTTTAGTTATTGTTCTCCCCTTGTACTCCATACTTGCAATATATACGCCTGCGCAAACAGGGGGGTACTGGTACATCCAGCTCGTGTGGCTCCGGCCCAGACCTCCGGATACATGGGCATTGTTCCTCGATTTTGACATTGGTACAAGTCCCATGGATCCATAGAGGGTGCCAAGCCTCTTCATCCCTGTTTGACCAAACCTGTGATAATACCGGGAGCGGCAGATTGGGTGGAGATTTCGGATATGACTTCTGCCCATCACGCATTAGTGACAACATATTTTGACACAAAATATTATGTGATCCGTCTTGAAAGGCTGATGGTCAGGTAGGACGCATTCACCAATTTCGCGAAGACTGTGGCTGATTTGAAGGAAAATCTTTGTCATGTATTTTGGGAAGTAAGGCACGGGGCAGAAGGATATCCTCGTGCTCCTTATTCCTGACTGAATGTGCCAAGTGGAGTGCAGCGCGTGCCAGCATGGGTTTTCCTTTTCAACAAGGGCCAGCGCTGTTCTCAACAACTGTGATGCGCCTTTGAACGGAACTACATTTACATCAATTGACTGCAAATGGGGTATGGTGGCGCGTTTGGGAGATTCACCGATCTCCCCCGTTGGATACGGGTTTGTGCATGGAGTGCATGCAGGATAGTGTGGGCTATTTCAGCTTCGTGGGCAACAGATGATAAATCATTCACGCATATTTGCCTTTGATAATAAGTTGATAGACCCGATGAGGTCGTTGTCAGTCTTGGTCAGGATTCCCTGATGTATGATGCGCATTTCACATGACCCTGAATGATCTTCCCTACCCCGGACTTTGGGGCCCAAATCCCACTTCGGCGGCGATCTTGCCCCTTGAGGAGGTGCCTACCAGGAAAGGAACTTTCCCTTGCTACGAGACGCAACGGTCTGTTGCGCTCGTCCTCCTGCTTTCCCAACCGAAATCTTCCCTGGATAGAGGGGGGAAGGTGTCTCTCACGAAAGGCCCCACCCGCTGCAGCCACATGCGACCAAGGCGAATCTGCTGGATATGGTGGTGGCAGGTGAATATTGTACTGGAAAGTTGCCATCTTGTCAATGAGGAGGTGCCGCCCTCTGGGGAGAATAAGGGTAGACGGAATTATTGTCTTACAAGTGGGGTCGGGGATGTGAGGGGCGGCATGCCCTGATCGCAGCTGATGGTGACATTTCGATGTGATACGGGTGCGTTAGGAGCATCGACAGCCGAGGAACGAACACCTTTGAGAAGTTTGGGTTGTTGCCATTTTACGCCCACCGCCTGTCATCCATGACTCACGAGGGTGCATGCCAGGGAAAAAACGAACAGACGCTTTGCTTAGAGCACATGCTCCACAGCAGGCGCAGCATGCCAAGCTGGAGTTCCTCATTGAGTGTGCGTGGCCGTTCTGCGACACCATCCCAGCGTCGTCAATTACAGCTCGATCGCCATGCCGTAGAATAGTCGCCATCACCCGTGTCCGGAAGAGTCGGCATCACGAACACTTTTCCTGCGCTGGTACTGGGCTCGACGCCGCATGCACACACCAAAATTTTCTAATTTCCAACGTCCCCACAAACTAGTGGCAATACTAGGGCTGCACTAGCAAGGGACGGGGGCGCAGTGCCGGTCACTGGTGAGTCGCCATGCAATTCGGTGAACAGCAGTAGCAAAGACACATCTGCAAGGGAAACACTTTCCTCCACACCGTTCCTCCATGGATTATGTTCGAAACAGTCTTCAACGACTACTGGCTGATTCGCCAGCAGCAGGGGTTGCTGCACAGCGTCGATTTCAAACAAGTGACCATCCGTGTGGTATCAACAAAAACTGCATGGGCACGCCATCCTAGCAATCTCGGTTGGATGAATTCACTGAAACTCTTTTAGCTATCTACGTCGCTCCAAGCGCTGACAGACCAGTCTGCAAAGCACCCAACTTTGCTGAGACCAGCACTCCACACGTCACATGTGTGGGCCTTGCTTATTTGCTTTGCTGACGACGTGGGAGCTCATCGAGGACATCCAATTGACTAGCCAGAGTTCATTAGCCATGGAATTCGGATCTTGGTCCCGGGGTCCTGAATAACTAACACCTAACTGCACAGTCAAGAACTCTCTGCAGGTGCAAGGAATGACCAAAAAAAGTGCGGCTTAGATGTCCCAGCTTCTGGCATCATCCATCGCTTCCTTTCTTGTTCTTTTTGTTTTTCTTGCCGCCTTTGCCAGCTCCCTCACCCCCAGCCAGTCTGCAGTCCTCAATGTCAATCACAAAAGGCGAGTGTTTGCCATCGCAGCTGAGATCGTTTCCGCTCAAGTACACGATCACCGGGTCAGGGGCCGAAAAGTTGGTCGTCTCAGTGAAGAAAAATCCTGGCAATTCCCCTGACAGCTCGTTGTTGCTCATGTCCAGCCTCGCGAACCTGCTCGTCTCATTGACCAGGCGGTTGAAGGGTCCGCTGGACTCCCAAGACTCGGGCACGCTCCCCTCCAATTTGTTTCCCGACACATTGAATATCTCCACCAGCGGAAAGAGCCCTTCGCCGTCCGGCAGGCCGCCGCCCAGGTTGTTCACGGCCAGTCCCAACACGGACAGCCCCTCTGCCGTGGCCAGCGCCGCCGGGAACGGCCCCTCCAACTCGTTGAAGTCCAGGCCCACCAGCGAAAGCGTGGGCGTCACCGCCGTCTCCGCGTCGCTCCAGGACTCTGGCAGCTCGCTGAGCTTGTTGTGCGTCATGAGGACAGTCCGCAGGCTCGGGATGTCTATCAAACCCGCCGGCACGCCTCCGGTCAGCTCGTTCAAGGACAGGTCCACGACGGCCAGGTGCTGCGCGTTTCCCAGCGATGCGGGCACGCTGCCGCTGAGCCTCGCCGCCGCGACGTGCAGCGCCTCCAGGGGCGAGTCCGCCGGCAGTACGTCCGGCAGGCTCCCCTCGACGCCGGTCTGCGTCAAGATCACGTCCAGCAGCGTGCTGCCCTCACCGAGCAGGCACTCCGGCACGGCGCCTCCGACCTCCAGGTTGCCCTCCAGGTCGAGGATGAGAAGCCCGCCCGTGGCCAGCTCGCACAGCCCGCTGCTGCCGTCAACCGAGCCCGTCAGCCTGTTCACCGCGAGGGACAGGTGCGTCAAACCGGGCGACGCCGCCGCCAGGGCGTCCAGGGCGGCCCCGGCGTCGCCCGTCAGCAGGTTGCCCGTCAGGTCCAGCTTCCGCAGGGACGCGAACGCGGAAAACTCGTCCGCGGGAAACTCGCACTGCAGGCCGAACCCGCGAAGGCTCATGCGCGTCAGCCTGCCCTGGGAATCGCACACGTGGCCCAGCTGGTGGCACAGGTCCGTGGAGATGGGCACGTTGTGGACGCTCTGCTTCAGCGCCTTCTTTTCCTTGCCCTTGGCATCTGGGTCAAGGGTCACAGCCACGCGCGGCCAGCCCACGCAGCCGCCCTCCTCCTGGCAGCATTTCTCGAAGATCCGCGCCACCGCCTCCTGTTCCTCCGGGTCCAGTTCCGCGTCCTCCACGAAGTCCAGCTCCAGCTCCCACGTGGAGCCCACGCCCGTAGTGTCGGACACCACGCAAGTAAATGCTGCAGCGACCATTGTGGAGGGGTCTTTCCCCTCTCCTTGCGCGACCGACACGTTGGTCACCGCCGCCTGGAACTCCTCGCTCTGGGAGGACAGGAAGATCTCGTCCACGCCCTGGCTGCTCCTGGACGTCCATGGGAACAGGTCGATCCCGGCGGCTGCCCAGGGCAGGGGGGTGCACACGATGTCAGCGTCCCCCTGCCTGTCAGACACGAGCAGCTCCAGCAAGATGCTGGGAAACACACCCGCCTCGTCCGACGCCACACCGAAGAGAATGCCGTATCCCTCCCTGGGGTTCAGAGTTCTAATTATGGGCTTTCCCGCGTTCAGCAGGGCAATGTCCTCGGACTCGGGAGAACCCGGGGCAGCCAAGTCGATGAGCTGCCTTGGCGGACTGTCTCCGGACTGCGCCGCAGTCGAGGAGACGGCCGAGAGCAGTGCCAGTGCCAGCACCAGCCGCGCTGGCTGTGGCCCCCGCCGCGCCATGGTCACCCCCTTCCGCCTCCTCAACCACCGTACCGCCGCAGCAGGGCCTGCTTTCATACTCTTTGCGGTTACGCCGTATGAATAGAGTGATGGGCTAACGTCCCCCTCCTTATCTTGTTTCGCGCCCAGCCCTCCCGCCCTGGATAGTGGAGTTCGGGTTAGTTGTGGGATGGAGAGGGAGTTGAGGGAGTGAAGTACGGGAAAGGGAGCTGACCCATGGGGAGTCACTCACTGAAGTGGCATTGAAGTACTAGCGAAGCGAATGGGCAAGTTTGATGGACGGGAACCTCGGGTATGTGATATTGACGGTTGTTTGTAAGTATTGTCATGGGGGTACATGACGGGGTGGGCTCAGGAGACCGGTAAGGCAGAAATGCAAAAACCACGATGTATGAACCTCCTGCGCCTTTGCCTTCCCCCATTTCCCTTCTCCGTCGGGTGGCTCTGTTGGCAGGCCTGGGCCCTGCACCACGCGCACACTGCACCCCACTAATGGGCGGAGGCACGATATACCGATTTGGTAGCTGAGGTGACTTGGTGACTGAGGATGTGGTGACCGAGCAAGGGGTCGAGAGCGTACTTGCTGACCCTGTGGCGATGCTATTGTGGGCCTGGTGAGGCGGTAAACTTGGCTGTGGGCGTCGGGGTGGGTAGTTTATGAAGGGAGCTCTGGGAAGGACAGATGTAAAGTAGTGGAATTTTGTGCGAAGAACGGTTTTGTTAGCTCCCATTCAAGTTTGTTATGTTTTTTTTCTGTGTTCAAATCAGTTAGAAGTTTTGGCAAATGACGCAAGGATGCGAGCTGTTGGCATTGAGACACAAGCGCTGCATTACAATCGAAAAATCCGTGTAGGAGGTTTCCTGGCGAGCAGAAAATGCGCCTATGGGCTGCCATCATGCCATCGTCAAGCAAGCGACGTCCTGTCTTGGAGCGGGCATCACCACACATCCGCACGCACCCCAACCCCTCTCCAACGGCCGGCCCCCCTCCCCCTCCAATGCAAAATTCACCTCCTGGCCCGCCGTTTCTCGCACAGCGCTCACCTCGGGCCCACGCGTTGTACAAGCGGCGTGACTAATCCCCCCCGACCGTCCCCCCACCCTCCTGGGACCCCCACAGATAGGTTCGGCGATCGATCCGAGCGCGCTCCTCATGATTTCGGGCCCGGGCCACATCCGGCGGGCTGCACGCGCGGCCGCCAGCGGGCTGCCCGGGGGCCGAGCGGCCAGCAGAGGACGCATTGTGGCGGGCGGAGGGGGGGGCCGCCGAGCCACAGGAGCTGATCCGGCGGCGGGAGGGCGCGTGGCGGGCCGCCTGCAGGCATCGCGGAGATGTCGTTGTTGGGCCCCGGGAGACACGGCTCTGGCGCGGGGTGGGGACTTTTCTTCTTCTCGGTGATCTTCTGGGCGCACGGCCAGGTGCCCGAGAGCGACCAGGACGTGGAGCTGCTGACGGAGGGCAAGCCCATCGTGGGCTTCCTGGACGCCAACGAGGCAAGGATAATACGCTTCGGTGTGACGTCGACCGATGGCGGAGAGTTTCCGGACATACTTATCTCCCTCATCGTCACCAACCCCCTGGGCGACGCCGACCTGCTGTGCACGCCCTACCCCTGGGTGCAGCAGGGCAAGCGCACCTTCCCATGGGCCTCCACCCACAGCCAAGGCGCGGACGAGGTCTTCCTGTCCTCCCGGACGGAGAACTACAGGGCCGCGGTGATCGATGTCCAGGTGAACCGCACGGGCGTGGAGGAGACCATACAGGCCGCGGGGTTTCAGTGCTGGGTGGTGGGCGCTTCGAGGGCGGGGTCCGCGTTTGAGCTGGAGGCGGACATTGCCTTCGCGGGCGTGGACCTGATCGAGGAGGAGCAGGACGCGCTGAGGGCCATCCACAGCGAGTGCTGCTCGGAGAAGGGCAGCTGCAAGTACTGGCCCAAGAAGGCGGGCGGCAAGGAGGGGGAGCTGGAGTTCGACCTGTGTCACGTGCACGGGAACATATGCGACGAGCGTGGCCGGCTGACGCGCCTCAACATGGACCACTACGACATGGTGTGCGACCTGCCGTCCAAACTCCTGACCACGCTCGTGGACCTGAGGAAGCTGGAGGCGGGCCACAACAGGCTAACGGGGGACGTGGCGGTGGTGATGGACGACCTAGCAAGCCTGGTGAACTTGACCCACATCGGGCTGACTCAGAACAGGCTGACGGGAGAGCTGGCCTCCAGCCCTGGGCTGTGCGAAATGGCAGCATCCAGGCTGCTGTTCCTCAATCTGCAGGTGAACCACTTGGAGGGAAGGGTCCCGGAGTGCCTCATTTCGTCGGGTAGCAAATTGCTGGACGTGGTCCTCAGCAGGACTGACATCGCAGGCACCCTGCCGGACGTGTTCAGCGCGGACTCCGACTTGCAGGCGTTTGTGGCAACGAGCACGCAGCTGTACGGGAAGGTGCCCAGCAGCCTGGCCAATGCCAAGCAGTTGACTTACCTGGGTCTGGGCCACAATAAATTCAAGGGGCGGTTTCCTGAGGGGCTGGATGTGCTGCCCAACATCCACACGCTGGGCCTTCGAGATAACAAAATCTCCGCCCTGCCCAAGTCGTGGAACGATCCCAAGAAGGTGACCTCCAAGACGCTGAAATTCGTTGACTTTGGCCAAAACAAGCTGGCAGGCGAGTTCCCCATGGCGCTAGCGACTTCTGGGCACATGGACGTCCTGGACCTTTCAAAGAACAAGCTGCAAGGCGGCCTGCCGGACGCCCCTGGCGTGTTCCCCAATGTCACGTACTTGAAGCTCACTGGAAACAAATTCACTGGCCCCATCCCTGATTCGTGGGCGGACATGGCCATGTTCCAGCAGCCAGCTGCCATTGCAGGGAGGATTGACCTTCGGAATAACAAGGGCCTTGCAGGCGAGCTGCCTGACTTCTTTTACCCAAAAGAGCTGGAAGGCAAGGTTGCAGCTGTGCGCATTGAGAAAACAGGCTTGTCCTGCAGCACGAGAGGCCCATCCCCGTTCGTGATCGATTTGAAGGAATGCAAAGGTGATCCCACAGCTGTGGGTGCTTGACCTCTGTGGGGACCCAGCCTGGCTGGCAGACTTGTTGAGGAAAGATTTAGGATACGTTGTAATTAGCTACAGCTGCACGCTCGTGTGAGTTCGTAGGTAACTACTGTGGGAGTAGTTGTGCACCATGCTACTGAGTGGTATGTTCATGGCATCGACATTGAGGGGGGGTGCATGAGACAGGCATTTTGTGTGCTTGGGTGGTCTCTGGCCAGCAGGAACATTGGCTGGAGCTGCACGCAAATGGTTGGTATATTTATTGCTGGAATGAGATCTCGGGTTGAGCATTGGTGGGAATTCTGTTCATTGCCTGGGGATGTTGTGTTCAGCATCGCTTGCAAAGGTGCGCAAAAAATGTAGTCTGCTGTTCCACATCCTGGGGGTGCAGACACAACATACCATATCCTATGGCTCTCTTGCTGGAACAAGAGCTCAGGAGTGCGCATCCATGGGAATACACTTCTGGGCTCCCATGGGAGGCTGCGTTTGGCATCGCTTACGATGGTGTGCAAAGAAAAATTGTGTGCTGTTTCAATTGCCACATCTGGATCGTCCGACACGCCATGCCATGCCCAATGGCTGTCGTGGATCCACACAACGAAATCCACAGGTGCCTAACACATGACAGCGCACAAGGTGAACGTGCAGGGTTGCAAGCTGGCTGCTCACTTAGCAACGAACACACTTTTCCCCAGAAATCACATTGTTTCCATGATGATGGTTGAAGCTGCAGCATAGCATAATGAACCCAGTGGGCTTTCTTATCTCAAACACATTATCATGGATGGAACAACATTTTGTGCCCATTCCGCAAGGAGAAGATGATGAGCCTACATTAGGGTTGCTGCCAAGCTCTTCCTCGGTGCAGCAGGTGCCAGTGCAAGCGTGCATAATCTGGGTGGTTTCGCTCATTGTAATGTGACTCAGTGGAAATTCGATGTACCCAGTGAACAGAGAATGGGGAATCAGCAGAGAGGAAAAGCCACAAGTCCAAGAATGGGACAATTGATTACAGCACTGATAGATAGGGTATGCATCCCAAACTGTGGAATGGGTTGTGGCTTGTCTGTTGGTATCTCTTTTCGCTCCTTACCGCCATGGCTCACTTTGATCTGGTTTGATGTTTACATTCTATTTGGCAATGTAGCGCCAGGGCTCCTGGAGAATCTGCCGATTGTGAGCGGGCACGCATGAGCGGGTATGGTATTTGTGAGTACCTTTCTTCTCCAATGGAAGCGTCGCGCATGTTAACGCATTGAGGAGGGCAAGGACCCCAGCATGCCAAACGTTTCACACACAATGACAGCAACAACAAGTTTATCAACAGCTGGCAATGAGCACCAGGTGTGGGCTAAAGGACACCTTTGGGTGGCGGACGCCTCATCCCAACCATCGCCACGTGCGGCCAATTGACGCTCCTTGTGACGAGAAGCAGGGTTGGCCATTGTCATCTGCGTCACATCGAAAGTTGCGATTGGGACATTGATTGTTGACGCATTTACAGCCTAAAATAGTGGTTCACATCAAGCGCATATGCTTTCAGATCGTGCTCTCAGCACATCAACCAGTTAAAGGCTCTCGTTTGTGGAGTTTGGGAGGTTGCCATGTCTGGGGGGTTCTGTTTTGCTGCGAGCTTTGAAGACAGAATGCACGTTCACCTCTGCCTACGACTTGCCAGCATATTTTTGAAGGCAACCCAGCCCAACCTGTTCCTTTCAGATGGCATGGTCTTGCAATGGGTTCGGCATGCCAGAACGAATTGCCAAATGAAAATTGTCGCCGGGATGGTGCGGTCTGCCAGAGCGTTTGTCGCCAGGATGTGTCTTCTGACCTGTTGAGCTCCAACGGAGTGCAAATGCGGAGCCGCCTTTCCCCCCCTGGCGGCGCCGGTGCTGCCACGACGCCATGGCTGCCAATGATAACGCTGTGTCGTGCCGCGTCCCGACGGTGTGCTGCAAAGGCAAACGGGGCCTCTGGATGCCCTAGGCAGCGCAATTGCCGCTCTTTGGCATCAGTGCCAGCGCCAGCGCCGCCGCCTCACGGCTGCCCGCGCCTTGGGGCACGTGCGCCGCCAGGGCGGAGTGGGTCCGCTGGGCGTTGGCAGGCAACGCGAAAAGCGTGTTCCCATAATGCGGTCACCCCATTTGTCCACAATGATTGGATCAGCTCATCAGCAGGAAATCTGGCGTATTACCGTATATACCGTTCTGATGCTGCTACGGCGCCAGCCTCACAACCGCGGTGGGCGCCAAACAACCACAACTTCCGGCGGATCTCGCGGGCAGCCCTGCTCCCGCGTCCGACGCCAACCCACCTGGCACGGGTCGATGCACGGGCCAGTGCCCATGACTCACCCCTCAATCACCCCGGCCCCCGGTCTTCACGTCGTAGACAGCGCGCCCATCAGCGCCTCCCGGCCCCCACAAGAATTCTTCGGACCGCCTCACAGGCCCAGCCATCCGCGCCGGGCGCCCAGGCGTCCCGAGCTAGGCAATGCCCGGGCGGGGCGGCGGCGCCAGGCCCTGACGTCCGATGCAGCCATGCTAATCACTCGCCGGCAAGTGGCGCCGCGCCTGCTGGTGGGTCTCATCCTGCGCCTGCTGGTCGGCGATGCACTGGCGCTGAGCGGCGCGAGCACGCCCCCCCCGGGCAACGCCTTCCTGCTCTCGTTCGGCGCGAATACTGGCGCCATTCGGACGCTCATCGGCGGGGCGCCCGTGACGGGGTCGCTCAAGCCGCGGGAGACCTACGCCCTCGAGTTTGCCGTGCAAGAGGTCAACGGCGTCATTCCGGACGTGGCGCTGGCGGTGGAGGCGGTCGACGGCTCGGGCGACGTGGATTTGAGGTGCAAGCCGCTGGGGAGACCGGAGGAAGGGGACGGAGGGGGCCAGAGGGGCGGCTGGGCGTCCAATCACACCTCCGGGCGGGACTACATTTTCATCTCGTCGGCGCGGCGCGACTTTTCTGTGTTGAGCATAACGGTGGGCGGCGGGGCCAGGACGGTGCGGGGCGCGGCGTTCTCATGCTCAGGTGGGCGGCGATAGCGCGGGGAACCTGAGGGGGGTGGGTGGGTGATGCCGGGGGGGGGGGACGGCCGTTGAGCGGCCCCAGGAAAGGGACCCAGCGCGAGCCAGCAGGGCGAACATTGGACGCCGCTGGGCCGCAGCGAGTACGAGGGGGCGGGCGTGGGCGCGGGGAGTGATTCGGAGGCGGGTTGAGTCATCCTGAAGCCGTCCGTTGACCGCCAAGGGGTTGTCAGGTGGCCCACGTGATCGAGCGTCAACGAAGTGGGGATGCGTTTTGGGGCGTCAAGCGTGGTTTGACGGGCGGGCGCGGGTGGGGTGTGTGCATCGTGGTGTTGGTGAGTGTACCGTGTGTACCTGTTGCGTGGGAGTCCGTGCCTGTCGATGCCCACAGGGTCGTTGGTGCACGTGCTGGGGTTGCGGTCGCTGCTTAGGTAAACCGCCTTCGCTGGTGGCACCGCTCTCATGTCATTGCCATGAAAGCTCCTGCAGTAGACGACCTGCAGCCCACCTTTTGTGGGGCTTCAGCTAGTGGGGGGAGCATCGATGATACGGACATCACCAACTGAGGGGAACCCACAGCTGGTGAAGATGTATCCGAATTATGTCGGGCATTTCTTCCCCAAGTACTCTTGCACTACTTCTGTTTCAAGAGTCGTGTGCGAATTCAAAATTGCCCTGACGGAGATCAAAACATGCAAGTCAGAAAAATTGACCAAAGTAACTTCGAACCACCGTAGAAAGAGCTATCCAAAGAGCCCTCTAACGTTTCAAACGGCGTCGCCGTTCTTGCGATATGTGACGAGCAGCTGAAACGCGACGTTGCATTTTGTCGGGATCATGGCGGAGCATGGTGAGCTTATACAGCCACTCAGAAGAGGTGGATTGACCTTAACTATCACTACGAGAGTGGTGTGTTTTGTCGGTCTAGTCTGCACTAAAACTCCGGCTTGGTTCCCAACAGTATCAATGAGACAAGAGATCAGAGTTTAGTATAGCACAGAGATGTCAACAAGTACGGTGTGGCTGTTGTGGCCAAAGAGACACCTTGGTCTGTGCAAGAACAATTACCTAGCAGACTTTCCAAGCTCTGGTAGGCATACATACTAAAGGAAAGGCTCAAATGGGGGCAAAAACGGCCGAATGTTGGAAACCAAAATTTTTGAAATATGATTCAGCGCACTAGAAGAAGCAGTGCACGAAAAGCACAGCAGCAATGATATCAAAGCTCTTGAAAGGGTGTAGCAGTGCCTATTTGATGTCGACAGCAAGGTTCTCCATGAATTTTCGGGGAAATTGATGAGGACATATGGGAATAAGACCAAGGCAACAATTCGTGAAATTGACCCACATGGAATTGGACAGGCGCATTTTCGATGAGGCCGTGAATGCCATGATTTATGGTTATGACAAATACAACCAAGATCCATCTCACCCCAAAATCGATCAAGCAATCTGAATATGGCGACGGGTTGACTGAATGAATCGATCTTGCAAGTTACACAGCAACATTTGGAGGTCGTACATGACTTTTGAAACGGAGATAATACTTGGACAATACCCATATGCATGAGGGTCAGAATTAATGGGCCATCACCCCTAGTCTGTTCATTTCCACAAGATTAGGAGCATGCAAGCAGCACAGCATATACTGGTAGTATATATTGGTGGTGCTGATCCATGATACATACTGTATTGCATAATTGCACCATAGAATTGTTAAGATGTCCCAGCCAGCTCTGCTCTGAGCATTGATAGGTTTTCCATTGCTGTGTGTTTTTCTCGCTGAACAGCATTCTGTTCCGCTGCAGTGGTTGCCCCCCATGTTGCAGAGGCAGAAGACGGCACGATCAAGTTTGAGCTGTCGATGGTTGTGGACTACACGCCGCGCAGGCTTGTGGCGGACGAACGACAAGCGCTATCATCCATTTTTGACAAGTGTTGCAGATCTGTAGTAGATTGTACCCCTTGGCGACGATGGCAGGGAGACTTGTGCCATTTAGACGACAACGTGTGCGATGGCGATGGTCGCCTCCTGCGACTCAGCATGCCTGGCTATGGGCTCAGGTGCGATTTCCCAAGCCAGGAGATATCCAACCTCTCTAGGTTGGAAAAGCTAGAGCTAGGGTGGAATGCCATTCGGGGTGACATTCATAAGATCGTCAAAGAGCTGACGTCCGCCCCAGCCATCGAGCACCTGGGGTTGTCGAATAATGCCATCATGAGCGCCCGCAGGGTGGGCGCAGCAGACCTGATGGAAGCATGCTCAACCCTGAGGACAGGCAACCTGTCCTTCTTGGACCTTCGGGACAACAAAATAGAGGATATTCTTTCTCCGTGCATGTTCTCTCCGGACAGCATGCTGGCTGTGCTGCACGTCGATGGCAACCCACTCAATGGGACACATCTGCCAGACACCTTTTCCTCGCAGTCCAAGATACGAGTGCTGACTGCCTCCAAGGCCGGCATCAGTGGCAGCATTCCGAATTCAGTAGCAGATGCACATCTGCGTTGCCTGGACCTCTCAGTGAACAACATTGATGGCAACATCCCCGAGGCGCTCGGTGGGTCCCCCGTGCTGGAATGGGTGAACCTTGGGAGAAACAAGCTACAGGGCGCGGTGCCGGCCGCCCTCGCAACGTCCAAGACTCTCAGGGTGCTCTGGCTCCACCGGAACACCCTCTCGGCACTCCCCCAGGAATGGATCGACGGCCCGGAGGCGTCCAAGGCGCTCATGGACGTCATACTGGCTCGGAATCAGATCCAGGGGCCCTTTCCCCTGGCCCTGGCGCAGGCAAGCAGCCTGTTGCGGCTGCACATCGGGAGGAATTTCATGGGCGGCCGGTTGCCCGAGGAGGAGGGGCTCTTTCCGCGGGCAGCTTATGTGGACGTGTCCAAGAACGTGTTCGTGGGCCAGTTCCCTTACAAGTGGGGCACCATTGGCATGTTCGCCGGTTTAAATGGCACCGGGGCCAGGCTGGCGTGGGTGAACAAGGCCAACAACGAGACCCTGGTGCCCGTACTGGACTTCTCGGACAACGGCATATCCGGGGTGGTGAACAGGTACCTGGTGGTGGCCCACGACGGTGGCCACGCCGTGGTGTACTTGGACGGCAACAAGGACATGCTGTGCTCCCACATCACGGGCGTGCCGTGCGACAAGTACTTCAACTCCGGCGTGAATTTGCTGGGGCAGGCCGCGGAGATGGTCCCGGAGCGCCTGGACCTCATGTACTACGCCACCACCATGGCCGACCAGCCGGATTCCGCGCCCGCGGGGGCCGTCGGCGGCCAGCCCCGCGCCGGCGGCGGCGCCACGTCCACCGGCAACGTGAGCCTGGCGATCGCGCTGGTGGCCTCCACTGCCATGGTCCTCTCTGTGGCCGCCGGGCTGCTGTTTTGGCGGATCAAGTCCAGGCGCGCCAGTGCCGACGGCGGCGGCTGGAAGGTCTCCAGCGCGCGCTCCACCAAGGACAGCCCCACGCCGCGGGCCACCCCCAGGTTGACGCCCAGGCAGATCGAGGAGTGGCCCATACCCAAGATCCCCGGCGACATGTCCTCCTCCTCCTTCAGCAACGCGCCCTCCGTGCTGAGCGGCCGCCAGTCCATGACCGGCCAGGCGGCGTCCCCCGCCCTAACCAGCACGGGCTCCCTGCCCGGCTCCCGGGCCGGCGGCGTGGTGCCCCCCCTCCGCGGGGTGCCCACCGCGTCCCCCGGCCTCCCCCCGCTGCGCCTGCCCCAGGGATCCCCCTTCTTCATGCCGGCCGATGGCGCGGACAACGCGGAGGAGTGGACGCCGATCGACATCGGCCTGTCGCCCGTCAGCCGCGGCACATCTCCCGCCGGCTCGTCCAGCAGCGACGAAAGCGTCGTCCCCCCTCTCAGCGATCGACCCGGCGTCGGGCGCCACTCCATCGCCAGCTCTGCCGCATTGGCGCAGCCGCTCTCCGGGCGCAGCGCAGCTTCCTGGAACGGCGAGGGCGCGAGGGGATCATCGTCGTCGACGAACGGCAAGGCATCCGTGGGAAAGTCGTCGACCGGGTCGAAGAGGAGCGCCGTGGGGTCGCCGTCCTTTCAGTCGTGGCTCAGGTGGGGCGCCATGGCCATGGCCGACAGCCAGATGTCCTGGTTCATGGGGACGCCAAGGTCGGAGAACGGGCCGGGGTCGCCTGACAAGCCGGACTCGCCTCGCGACGGGCTCAAGTCCATGTGAGGGCTGCGAAGGGAGCGGACTGTGGGCCCAGGGGGGTGTCAAGCTTCATTTTCACGGGTAGTGGGCACTCTCGGGGTCCATGGGGTAATTTTTTTCCGGGTGGAGGGACCCGCCGTGGCGGGCTGGGGGTGGGGGGCGGCCCCCGGCGATCAAGTTTGTGCGCAAGGGGGCCTCCCGAGGCCGGAGCGGGGAGATGGGCCCCTGGATAAAGCGCCATCCGGTGCCGTCGTCTTGCCTGACTGTTGCCGCAGCGCCTGGGTGTACAGTAAGCAGCGCGGGATAAATGAATGGGGACGTGGTTAGATTAGGATTGCGACGCCGAAGGAAAACATTAACCGCAGTGAGAGGTGGAGATGGCAGCTCTCTCCTGAATGAATTACGAGTATTGTTTGGGGCCGTGCACACATGGCTGTAATTGAAGCGTGGGCTACACACAATTGCTGGGGTGCGGGGCGTTCATGGCGCTACCGAAAGTGGCGAATTCAAGTAATGCTCAACCTCGCATGTTCACTGATACATCGACTGTCAAGGGGACAGCAAAGGACAAAAGATTGTCAAACAAGCGTTTGGAAAGGAGCGCAGGCCTCTAATTTTGCAAATCGCTCGTAACTGCGAGTCATCACCAGCAAAGTCACTCGAGCATTATGCCAAGCTGGAATGCGATACTCCAGAAAGGTTCTGCCGAAGGATAGAGTAACCGCGTGGTTATTGGCTGGATAGCCAACTGACAGGGCTGCGCATTGCACAGTGCCCACAGTGCCTGTGGGCCGCCCAGCCTTGGCTGACAACAAAGTTTCTGGGCAGGGCTTGTTGAACACCATCGGCAACTGCAAAATGGAAACATGAAACGATGCACTGGTACCATGCTCATACGTCATTTGGACATTCAAGTACAGGGTTCGGTGCAGCACCGAACGGTGCCTGGTGACGCATCGCAGGCAGCTGTGGCCAGGGGCGTTGGTGCCCTCAGAACAAGAAGTGTGTTTCTGGCAACTCGCTGGGCTCCTTGACCCATTTGTGACTACATGACGGGCTAACTCAATGAGGCGAACAGCTGGAGCCCATAATCATGCAAACATCAACATGTATGCTCGTGGATTGTTTCCTGGCAATAGTGCCTTACAGTAGAGCGATGGTGGCCTGGGGGATGCACTGCGACAGGCTCCTCAAGCGCGCCTACGCATTTCTGGGAAATTAGTGCAGCGTGTGACTCGTGGGAAAATCACGAAGGTGTGCGGAAAGACACACGAAGCACCTCCTTGGTAATTGGGAAGTTGCACGAAAGTGAAATTGTTTCCACCTGACCGGTCTCCTCAACCCACCCAGTCATGTTCCCCACACGACAAGACATTTACAAAAAGGTGTCCGTCAACATGACCCCCAATTGCCCAAGGTCCCCGTACTTAACAGTTTGCCCTTTCGCTTCACTCATACTTGACGCCACTTTTCTCCCATGGCTCAGGCCTGAGTCAATCCCCTAATCCAGTACTTCCTTCCGCACCTCCCCTCTATCTCCCTCAACTCAACTGAACAAGATAGGAGGGGAACTGAGGTGGGGGCCTAAATATCCGTCCCCGCTCAGCCCCGCCAAAGCCCACCAAAGTCCAAGGGCGCCAAGCTGACGGCACCTTGGGAACTACATACTTTGACTGACCAAGGTACCAGAGGGGCCAGAAAGCCGTTCGAATTCAACTGGTACCGATTTGAATCATCGGCGCCCAGTGTCGTCCTTGGTGGAAATATATTAACAAGACGGTTAATTGCATTTCCCTATTTTTGACGCGATGCCACATTCCTAAACAGATCAACATTTCACATGTCTCGAATGACATGAATCAGAGAATGGCTCCGACAATACGCAGCGCAAATCACTGCGATGTTTTGGAACAGGTACCACCGTATGCGTCCCGTTCCTGTCGGTCATCTATCAATGCTTCAAACTTTGAACCGGATCTGGGCCCCAAGTACTTCAGAGCTCCACAACAACAATAACAACGCTCAATAACAGGATACGCTTCACACACTCCGGCAAAGAGGATCCCCAAGTGTCCGCAAAAATTTCTGAGTGCCTCCGGTGGCCACGGGCGCCATGGACGGTGCCGACAGGCTGCGCAAGGAGGCTTTCGTCTCCCACCTCACCGGAACAAGCGTCCAGGAGGTGCTGGCAGTCAGCCTCGTGATGCCGCTCATGGCGCTGCCAGGTTGGTGTCACTGGCGCACCTGGCCACCCCCCACGTTCCCTCCTGCCGCGCATCTGCTGCCGGGGATCGCCAACCAGGCTGACGGCTGCATTCTGTGCCGCAGCGTCCGTCTTGCAGGAGTGGCTGGAACGAAGGGGGGTTCGCTATTGGTGGGTCGGCAAATGACTGGCCGGGGTCGCATTGCCCTGGCGGTTGCGTCGGCAGCTGATTGGGGGCCGGAGTAACCTGTTAGTGGCGCGAGGCCGCCGGCTCTGGGCGTAGCGCACTGCCATCTGCTGTCATTTCGCGCCGCTGTCTATGCGCAGTTGCGGGGACTTGACAGTATATCCGACAACAAACTTTTGGGGCGTCGAATGACGGTTCGTTTGATTGCACACGCCACCGCACGGCAAGCACTGCGGTCGCCAGGGGCCCTTTAGGCCCAATTCCCAGGCCCCAGATTTTTCCTTTTCCTTTGGCAGAAAGATATGTGTCCGACACTGGGTGATATTTTCTGCTTCATTGTCTCCAACTGTTTTCAATCTTTGCAGTATGGTCAGTTCTTGAGTGCAGAGTGGCTCGTGTTTTCTTTGTTAGAATTCTCTTTTGTCGCAAATGAAGTGCTGTTGGACAGAATTGTGCACTTCATAGAACGGGGATAGTTCCATGACCATCGATGAGCGCAGATACACTGTAGAGCACTCATTCGTTGGGGTCTGCATGCCAGTCATTGAGGTAAAACATGTTGGACTTGAAACACATACTTGATACCACCAGCTACATTGGTCAAATCGATCCACTTCGAGCATTCAGAGGCTGTCCTTTCCACACATGTTCAATGATCCAAACATCTTGCTGTGGAATGACTCTTAGGTGGCAGTATCCAATTTATGGTGGACTGTGTTGCTGGCACAGGCCACTTGGATTTGGGGCTAATTTCATGGCACTGGTGCTGCCTTTCCTGGGTGCTGTTATGGGTGGATTCATCCCCACATACAGCTCTTGGGTTGCTGTGGCCCTCTGTATGGCCTGCTCGATGTTGCGCAAGGAGGAGGACCATGAAAGGGCTTGGGCAGCTGCTAAATTGCAGAAGCTGGGGACTGTGCATCGCAAGTGGGGAGGAGCCCTGTTCATGAAATTTATTTCCTGCCTGCACTGGATGCTTGAGTGAATGGGGACTTGCTTTCGTGCACGTTACAGTGCGAATACAGGATGTGTGACAAGCCTTAAAAATATTATGGTTTAGTATGTATGCATGTATGCATATCTTTGTGAAGGGTTCTGTACAAAGTGTTTGAAATAGGCACATTTTTTTGCAGCAGCAGCTAGTCAACAACCCAAAATGTCATGACTGTCAGACAGAGCCTGTCCTTCTAAAACATGGCCATGGTTGCTGTTTTTGCGATGTTGGGAAAGCATGGCACCACGATTCAGTGCATCCACCACCCCACCCTGGTCTGTGGGCTGTCCGATTGTTTTACCATTCTGCCATTATGATGGTGTGCTAATTCTTCTGCATGTGCATTGGAGTGTGAAATGAGTCAGAGCATGGTGGTAAATTGTTGTTTCTTCAATGTTTATGCTGATTGAACTGGGTATTGTCGTGGAATAGATTTGCCAAAGAGAATGACAAGCGAGCAAGCCCTCACACGTTGTGGCTGGTGATGTGGGCAGAAACATCATGTCAATGCGGTGAATGTCTGCAGATTATTATTCCAACTATCACCCACATGCACGACGTCAGAAAGGATGGCTAACATGCCAATGAAAGCCCTGATGCATCTGGGCAGGAAAAGGGACTTAAAACAAGAAAACAACTGAGCAGAAAATGTCCTGTGCAACACCCTTAAGTGCATCTGTCTGGTGAAGCCGTTCAAGTTGTTCCTATCTTTTTTTGTGTTTTGCACATCTGCTGCAAAGAAGAGAAGAGATTCGCCAGAAATCACCTTGGGATGGTGCCTGCTGACTATGCCCAAAGTTGGTGACTTGTGTGTTTCATTGATTTATTCCAGATACATCGCCTCCTATCGGGGAGCGCTGATGCTGAGCACATGCACAACAATCCTGGCTGTGGACTTTCCAGCCTTTCCACGCAGGTTTGCTAAAGTGGAGCGTTACGGCACCGGGCTCATGGATGTGGGTCCAGGGTCTTTCGTGATGGCCAGTGGGATAGTTTCCCAAGCTGGCAGAGGAATGGGGATTGGAGGATCGCTGATTCCCAGGTAAGCGGCATTTGGCAAGCATGTAATGATGGAATGTGTGCCTGGGGCTGCATCACCACAGCTGTGCTACTTGAAAGACAGCCAGCACTGTGTTGTCTGTGTGATGCTTTTGTTTCTTTGCCGCTCTTGTCCATCACCGTGTCTGAGGTTGTTATGGTCATTGTGTTGGCAGTGGGTGAAACACCATTCTGGGGCTTACAAGTTTATTAGACAATGCCATTCCTGATGGTGGTTGGTATATATGCTGAATACGACTGGATTCGATCATTCCCTAGAACGGGTAGCCAGCTGGATTGCATAGCAATAATTCCAACACAGACTCTGCTTTCCTTTCGCAAGCTGATGATACATTGTCAGCCAATGAACTCGAAGCTATGCCAAGGCTGATTTCTGTGCCAACAATGCGTGCAGTGGAACTCGCATTGCTGAAGCGTTGCGGGGTGTATACCCCCTGCTGCTGCTGGGAATTGCAAGACTTGTGGCAACTTCTTTAACCAACTATCAGGTGATCACCCTGGTGCAAACTGTTCCCCCTGCACTCCGGTCGCTCCCATAATTTGATGCAGCACGGGCGGTAAGTTGTAGTGCAGCGCAACACCTGACCGATGCCAATCCACTCTTCTCACTGCAATGGTCAGCTGCCAGCAGTTGTGTTGTGTGTTAACCGAAATTGGCCGGCGCCTCCCTTGGCATCTCCCCTGCAGGTCCACGAGGCTGAATATGGAGCGCACTGGAACTTTTTCTTTACACTCGCCTCCGTGGGCTTCTTGACGGCTGTGTTTCCATTGCGCGGCCGCCGGCTCGAGATCGGCTGCCTGGCCATCATTTTGGTACACCAACTCCTGTTGTCCCTTCCGGTCGTCCCCAATTTTGTTCTTTCCGAAGAGAGGTCAGGGAGCCTGCTGAGCCTGAACAGGGAGGGCATCATCTCGATTCCGGGATACTGGTCCCTGCACCTCCTGGGGGCTCTTATTGGCCGCACGCTCCTCTGGACGTCAAGGTTTGCGGCAAAGCGCGCTGAAAGGTGAGCCTTTGCAGTGGCTTTTCACAAATAAAAAATCGGCCAAAATACGCGGTTTCGAACCGTGTGAAAATCGTGTTAAACTGTGTCAGAACCTGTACAAATCGTGTACACCCACTCAATCGTTAGTGCACGGTTTGATCCCAGTTTTATACGATAAATACAGGATTTGGCACGATTCAACACGATTTTGCACGATTTTCAATCGTGTTACACGGTGCACGATTTTCAAAACCGTATATTCTGGCCTGTTCTTTTGCTAGTGTTTTCGTCATTAGTGAACTCAATTGTGGTTCATGGGGCGCTACATTTGATACGGCACGAGAGGCCTGGAATGACTTGCTTCAACACAGCGCTGAAATTGCTGCTCGGTGTGCCAACTGCACGGCCTCGATAGGCGCATGTGATCCTCACAGCCGCCGCCATTGTGGCATTGTGCCGGCGTGCTGTTTCCAACCGTACACAGGTTGTGATGGCATGAGGAGTTCACAGACTCTTAGACCCTGTGTTAAACATTAGACTTCAATGAGCTGATCATAGACACCGCTTTGCTCGGGCAAAATAAGAAGCTCACGGCTACCTCATTGCCCAG